GGAACTACAGGCACGCGCTACCACGCCTGGCTAATTTTTTATTTATTGTAGCGACGAGGTCTTGCCAAGTTGCCCGGGCTGGTCTCAAACCCGCAGGATCAGGTAATCCACTCGCCTCAGCCTCCCAAAGTGTTGGGATTATAGGTTGAGCCACCAAGCCCAGCCTAAATGTCAAACTTCTTACAACAGTAGTCAGAGCTCTTACTTACCCCCAAGGGATCTCCTACAAAGCTGTCATGGCTGTAAACCAAGTTCTGTTCTCGCAAAATGCACTCACTGCTCTTAGGCCACCCCCTCCCCATTCAGCCCTGAACCAGAGACAATGCATTATTCCCCTGGAAGCAATAATAACACCCCTCCACTCCTGCCCAATGGCTGTATCTCTCTCTCATACAACACTATATTCTTCTCTGAGATGCTTGTCACATTAAGGCCACTCCTGTGGGTAGGAACAGAGGTTTCTCCTGGAGAAGTGGCTGATGGAATTGAAAGCATTAGAAGTCAGACATTGGCTGGGCGTGGAGGCTCAAGCCTGTAATCCCAGCACTTTGGGAGGCCAAGGTGAGAGGATTCCCTGAGCCTGCAGATTCGAGACTAGCTGGGGCAACATGGTGAGATGAGACCTCATCGTTACAATAAATCAACAAAAATTAGCTGGACATGGTAGCGCACGCCTGTAGTTCTGGCTACTTGGAAGGTTAAGGCAGAAAGATCGCCTGAGCCCAGTGGGTTGACACTGGGGTAGTCGTGAGTGTGCCACTGCACTCCAGCCTGGGCGACGGAGTGAGACTCCAACTCGAAAAAAAAAAAAAAAAAGTCAGACATTAAGGAGAACTTGGCCCAGAAGGAAAGGGACACCTTCCTTTCATGGCCTTTATAGGACTGGAATTTGTATGTGGATGGGCTGAAGAGGGTTCCTGAGTGATAGATAGAAGATCACTTCTGCCATAAGCTGGAGAGGCCAGAAACTAAGAGGGGGGTGCATGGAAGCCCCCTGCTAGTTTGAAGATAAGCCCCACCCACCATATCTCTTCCTCTCAGTAAACCTTTACTGAACACCTAGCATTTAACCAAGCACTGGGCTGGGTTAGTACTTGAAAAAGCGCAAACACTGATTTGAAGTGCTTCCCCATTTCCATGGTATAAATATTCCTACTGTTGCAGATTTCAAGCTATCAATATGAGATTACTGAATGCAAAGCTAGGAAGAAATGCACAACATATGCCCTAGAGAGTTGGTGCAGGACAACCCCAGAACCCTCCTGGCTGGGGATAAACAAGCAAGTAAGAAAAGGACACCATCTCATGGAGCTTGACTTAACAAGCATGACTCTACTGTTTTGTTTCCATGGCAGTCTTTGCTACCATCTTGGTGAGTCAAGATTTGATCACCTTAAGTAGTCTGTGTCTTTCTTTGTATTCTAGTGTGCTTCGGCCTTTGAGGGCAGGGACCCCATCTGACACTTCACTCTGTCACCCCAGCACCTGCATGAGGCTCTGCTCATGGGAGACACTGCAGATTTGTTGATTTTATGAGGCAGGGAACAATTTCTATTGAATGGATCCATAGCCACTGGATATGGCCATCCGCGCCACCCACGCCAGAGTACACAAGCCACAAGTGAACTTCGAGAAGAGAGTTGGCCACTGCTAAAATCACAAAGCACAAAGTTTACGCCAACCTTCTCCACCCTCTAACCAGCACCCCCTTCCCACCTTCTGCCACCCTTGACACTGGCCGGTTCTCAGGCTTGACCTCAATTCTTACTCTGCAGGTTGTGCTGAAAGAAAGTGCTCTGACCTTCAAAATTGTGGGAAGAGTCAAGATTTATCCCTGGCTTCTCAAAGGGGCCCAAGATTCCGCATTTCACCAGTCGCCACCTCCAGAAAAGGTTATGTTCCCTGGCTCAAGCTGTGGCCTTTAGGGAGCATGGGCTCTGGTCACCCTCAGAACCCTCCACATAAGCAGGATCCTGGCTGACCCCCGCAAAGGGACGTGTGTGAGAAAACAGGCACGAGCACACCATGCTCCAGGGAATCGCGTGCAGCCTGCCACACTCACGCTCCCATGCTGAGAAAGAAAACCTGCCACACTCCCTGGCATGGTGGGCCAAGATGGCGGCAGGCACCCAGTTCCCACCCTGGCAGGACAACGTGAATGCCGTGATCTGCTTCCATTTGGGTTAGAAGACTGCGAGTGCTGTTTCCTTCAAAGCTGTCCCCTAGCTGTTAACGTGTGAGACCGGAACAGGTACAAACCCCGTGGACAACATACCCTCTTGCCATCCACTCTCCTCTCCTTGCAATATTTCCATCACAGAGCCTGTAACACTTCAAAGATCAATGCTTTATTTTCTCTAGCTCCAGTGTTACAACTGTAGCAGCATTTCAGAAACATCCCCACACACAAACACACATTTCTCCCCTTCTTCTTCCAAGAGCTGGCCATTGAGAGGCAGAAACAATATTGACTAAAGGCATTTGAGTATTGTAAGAAGTAACACTTGTTCACCCTTAAAACATACATTGTGCGTCTTTGCAGGTAGGAAGCAGCAGTACATTTGTAGTTCACAGACACAATCATCCTTAAATAAAGTTAAATAAAACCTTGTTGGCCTAACAATGAGTTGGAGATGCAGCCTTAGGGGGGATTTTGGAGAGCTAAAATGAGACATTAGCATTAAAAAAAAAAAAGAAAAAAGAAAAAGAAACAAACCACACTTAGGATGTAGGCCAGTAAATAGCTAGATTCAATCCAAAGTTAAGAAAAAATAGTCATGGATGCAAGATTTCATCCATTTGAGAAAAAAAAACAAAACATCTTTTTAATTCTAAAATAGGAGTAAAACTGATCTTACAAGAGTTGACCCTCAAATCATAGTGAGCTGAATAGCTCTCTCTCTCTCTCTCTCTCACACACACACACACACACACACACAAACACACACACCGTGTGAAAACACGAGTATTGTACTCAAGTGGCACTGCCTGGTTGCAGATGTCACTCCAAAAACATGAATGACCACATTGGTGCCATGATTATATTAAGCTGGTCACCAGGGTGGGGGCGGGGTGGGGGATGAGAAGACATTTTTCTGTTTAGCGCTTTGCCAACGTCAAAGTCACAATCAAAAACCAGACTGCAGTCTGCCTGGGGCAGCAATCTCAATTTTGGAGATAAGAGCCAGAAGGGTAGATAAACAAACATTTGTAGCCACTTAGTGTGTCACAACTTTCAAGGCTTTACTCAACCTCACGCAATCTCCAGACACCTGAAGACCAGGTAGGGCAGGCAAAACAGGTGACTCCCCCAGCCCATGTGCCCATTACACAATGAGGGGTTCTCCACATCAGGCCCACAGAGCTCTGAAATCCAGTCCCCACCTCTCTTTGTACCCGTCTAAAGGAGCTTTCCCAGAGAACTCAATTGTTTCCTCTCTAAATATCACCGAAAATAAAATCCTGTAGGAAGTACAAAACATCTTGCAGTAGGGGGGCATGTCTTAAGTGACAAAAAGGCGTGGTAGGTTAATTTTTTGAGAATTTAAACTCTACTTTGGAATTTAGAATTTGATTTTTTTTTCACAGAACTTAACAACTAACCCAAGGCAGGTTGAAAGTGCAGATGTAAATATTTTCAGCAGCAAGCTCTCTGTGGGGTTTCTTGCTGCAACTGGTTTCAGGGGGCAGGGGGAGCACAGAAAGGGGGTTAACCAGTGGGACAGGTCAGCAACGGAGCCCCACAGACCAGCAGCAAGGGGCTGCTCACAGGGCACACATGGGAGGAATCCAAAGCGGCTCTCTCTCTAATCCAAAAAAAGGAAGTCAACTGACTATTGTATTACAATGTCTCATAGCTGTTAGGGAAAAAAAATCATTACTCCTGGAGACACTGTGTGCATGGTCCCAACATGAAATCTCTCCAAGTACAACCTGAGTTCTTCCCAGGCAGTAAGGAACCATCCAGTGGAGGCCAGGCCCAAGCCTCGTCGGTGAGACACACCACGCTGTGTGTGGTGGGTGGCGGCAGGTCAGGACTGGGCTCACCAGAATGAAAATACACACGTGATTCCTGCTCATGTTTAAAGACAGGCTCTGGTGAGGGCGCAAGAAGAAAAACTGTGAGGCTTGTCAGTCTTCCCTTGGGTCTTGGTCTAACGCCTCCACGGGATGGCATGGCCAGAGGAAATATTTTCTTCTAGCGACAACCCGACTGGGTACACACCATTTCAGAAAACAGGGCTGCAAGGCCGTGGGCTCTTAAGTGACACACACCATGTGAGGCTGCACGATGGCTCTGGCACGGCATCTTCTGACTTGGGCATGAGGGTCCCTGTCAGGCCTCAGCAGTAAGTCCAAAGCTGGAGGGCTGGGCTTCTGTCACCACGCAGCGAGTGACTGTGACAGGGGAATTAATGGTGGGGACGGGACAGGAGGGCAGACAAATACCGGAGATGCTTGTTGCTTTTTAAAACCCTCAGATTGCACAGGAAAACATAGGAGATTAGGAGATTAAGTCAAAACACGCATAGACCAGGTTACCTGAAGTGCCTGAGTGAAAAGGCTCATGCAAAAAGAAGTCCTAGGGTAAAGGCAGGATGTCTCCCAACTACCTGCGCCCCACAAGTAGCCACATGTTGGCATAGGAAGGGCCCAAGTGCTGACTCAGGGAGGCATACATTCACACCACTCACGACAAGGGAAGGAAATGGTCTCAGGGAGGTTTAAGGCTAGTCATCCTAGCATCCTAGTGGCACCACCATCCTGCGGTGTGGGACAGATCCTGCCACCCAGTACGTGTGCGTGTATGTTTATTCAGCAGGAGAAAATGCACCAGGATCAGATCTTTGGTCCTGGAATTTTTAGAAAAGACAAAAGAAAAAGGCACATGAAGGCAACTAATTGAATTTAAAAAGAAAATGTAAGTAGCTGCAAGTCACATAACATTATTTTGATTTTTTTTTTCCAACGTACCTTTTTCTTCCCCCATGAAAAGAGAAATTCAAAAGAAAATCTTCGTATTTATTACTTTACATTCAAGTGAAACTTCCATCTGGGGGAGGCTAAGCAGTTGTAGGCCGCATTCAGCGATGCATTACGGTGGTGGCTTTTTAGTTCACCTGATGGAAGAATTCAACCCTCTCATTTTTTTAAAAAACAGTTTGAGAGTCCCAACTGTAATACTATGTGTAGACACGCACAAGCAAGCACACACACAAATTCAAAAACTCCTACATAGAAAAATAAAGGATAAACATTATCCATTTTATCCTGTGTCATGGAACTTTTATATACATAAAAAAAAATTTTTTTTCTTTAATGTTTTCAGTCACTGCGTATTTTCTTCCCTCCTGTGTGATCTAAGGATCCAGGGAGGGGATTGCCACAGTGAAGCAGAAATGCTACATTCTGCTTGGCGAGGAAGAGAAAACATCATTTCTCACTCCCCTTCCAAAGTCTTTCCCATCCACCACCACCTCGGACGTCCCCGCGGACAGCCTTCTGGTGAGCGGCCATCCCGTCCCCTCCTCTAAGGCACCAGGGAACCAAAGGCCCAAAGGGAGCACCCTGCAAAAAAAAATGATCTGGGTGTGACAACAAGGGAGCGGACGCAAGCCTTTTAAGAGCAGAGGGTTCTGGAATCACTTTCCACAGCGTGTTCCTCTAGTATGGAGCTCGGTTCTCCAGCTGGCGCTTGGTGAGGAAGTACTTGAAGAACTCATAGACGGACCAGGAAATGGCAGCGGAGGGCATCTGGTAGATGACACGTGCCTGTATACCCTTGAAGTAGCCGGCCAGGCCGTTGAGCTGATACACCATTCGGAAGGCATTCGCCATGCCTGACAGCCGGCCACTGATGTTTGCCAGAGAGAGAGCCACGTTCTCCTGAGTGTTGAGGAGGGTCTTACAGACGTCTAGGGGGGTCGTGGCGGCCGCAGCGAGGGCCCCGGCCAGCCCGCCTGAGATGATGTGGGACTGCGGGTTGTAGGTCCGATGGGGGTTGACCTGCTCCTGCAGGAACTCATAGGTGATGAAATGGATGGACTGGAAGGGGATGTTCATGGTCAGCTGCGTGGTGTAACTCCGGTAGAAGGCCCCCAACCCCTCGGTCCTCCACACCGTCCGGACGCAGCCGAGGGCTGACTGGTGCTGTGAGTTGTACATCTGTAAACGCTGCTTCACAACTGTGGTCAAGGTGGTGGGGCAGACAGGTAGCCAGTGGGCAGTGCGGTGGATACGGCCCCACCCCGGGTTGGAGTGAGATGGGAAGCCAACCATAAAGAGAAACAAGCGAGTTAGACACGCTGGAAACAGGCCACCACGAGCGAGCACACGCAGCCCTGGCCCGAGAAGCCACGGAGGGCCAGCTCCGGGCAGTCCCCGGTTAAAATCCGTGTTTATCTCCAGGACCTAGTGCCAGGAAAGTGGCTATTTCCTCCTGCCTGAATCTTGCTGAAGGTGGGTCCCAAACTAGGCAGTCACTTCTGCTAGATTAGCTGACTTATTTCCTAGATCCTAGCAGTCCTTGGCAGGAACCGTAGGCACCCACCATCAATCTGAATCTTGCCCTATCCCCCCTCCCCTCCTTTGTCCCCAACACATCATCTGAAGTGTGTCCCCTGACTTGTTCTCAGGGGTCTGTGCCTCTGATGGTGATTTTAGCTTCTGTGTCACGGTGTACTTAGGCCAGACACTACAATTTATGTCTGCCCAAGTTCAATGACAATCTAACTGGGGGTTCACAGGACAAGAAGCAAATGGAGCTAACTGTGGGACCTTGAGCTTTGAGTTTTAGTGGTCCCCACATATTGCCAAATGAATATACACAATGTGTTTTCTTCACTTTTAAAGAAACAAAGACATTAAATCAACAATAGTAACAAGAAGGGAGGGTTGGAACCTCCCTTTTTTCTCTTTTAAGAAACATAAACAGGACAACCGTTGCTTGGTTAACATGGGCTAACTGGCCACTGATCAGGTCCCTGTATGAACTGCCAAAAAGAAAAAGAAAAAAAAGAGGCCAAGATATTTAATATGAATAATTATTTGGGAATTTTGGGTTTGTCACTAAACTACTACTTCCTAGAAGGGTTTCCCTCCCCTCTCTGCCCCCCACCTACCTAAGAATATCTCTTTCCTGGCCCCAAAGAACTCTGACTTGAACACATTGATTACAGGTCAAGCCACGAAGGCAGGTGAGTTTACTTAAGGACGTCACATCTCGTGAGAAAGATAAACCAGAACCCAGGCTGTCTCTCTGAGCTCTCTACTTTCTAAATAAAAAGTGAAAGAGGGGTGAGTCCCTCCAGGGTGCCTCACACTGCCCAGGATAAGGATCAAACTCAGCACCCGGGCCATAGACACACCCCTCCCCACTTCCCAATCTGACCCCTCATGGCCTTGAAGGTCGGAACAAGTCCCTGCCTGCTAGGACATGGGAGGCAGCTGAGAGCAGATAAGGAACTTTAACCTTAAAATACAAAAAACAGACAAATGTAATACGACTTAAAATGTTGAAACTTTTCTCTTCAATTCTCCCTTCTGGCAAGGGACCATTTTCAGATGGGAAAAAGGTAAAGAGAGAACCAAATGTCACCTAAAGTCACTGCCAGGTACAGAATAAACCAGCTGAAGGCACACCTGATACCAGGCCCAAAGGATCTCACTATGCGGGCCCACATCACTAAGGGCACCAGGACACACAAAAAGTTAAGTCAGGTCTACACAATTGAGCCTTGCTTCATAATACTCCCAAGATTCAAAATTTTTAAAAATGTGGGGAGAGATGGACAAAACTAAATGGGCCCATGTTAATTTTGGAAGCAGAGCAGTCATCACACTATTCTACTTTTGCATATGTGTAAAATTTGCCACTTGCTATAATCTTTTTTTTTTTTAAAGCAAACCGAACACAAGCCCTAATGAATGGCCTGTGATGGATTCTCCCTTTTTTTTTGAGTCACTGTCTTACTCTATCACCCAAGCTGGAGTGCGGTGGCACAATTACAACTCACCACAGCCTCGATCCTCTGGGCTCGACAATTTTTCTGCCTCAGCCTCCTGAGTAGCTGGGACCACAGGTTCGTACCACCACACCAGGCTAATTTTTTATTTTAATTTTTTTTAGAAATGAGGTCTCACTATATTGCCCACTCTGGTCTTGAACTCCTAGACCCAAGCAATCCTCCCACCTTGGCCCCCTGAAGTGCTGAGATTACAGGCATGAGCCACCGCTCTGGTCAGTTCTCCCTAAATAGGGTTGTTAACAAGGGCTAGAAGTGTGTGTGTGTGTGTGTGTGTGTGTGTGTGTGTGTGTGTGTGTGTGTGTGTGTACATGCATACGTGTACATACAGGCTTTAGGGTAGTGTAAAAGCATGCCAAAGAATCACCAGGAAAGCTTGGTAAGAAAGATTCCTGGGCCCTAACCCCAGGGATTCTAATCTAGTAGGCTTGGGGTGGAGCCTGAAAATTAGTATTTCTAATACCACCCAGGAGGTGTCCATGCTGCTGGCCGTGGACCACACTCTGAGTATCTCTGTTCATGAGAACAGGAATACCACAAAGCTCAAATGTGCATGGCCTTTCTTGAGGACTTTAATAACACAGCTAATAATTCAATTCTTCTGTTTGTCCTGACTGGGGGCCAGGACTCGCCCTGCCCCCCTTCTATCCCCTCATTCCCCCATCACTGTTTCTCCTGTCCCTCTGCACATCCCCTACTGTCCCGCCCTGGAACCATAAAACATTACCTTCGGCTGGATTCATTACTGCATCGTGGAGCAGGGTGGCCATACTCCCAGCTATCCCTGCAAAACAAACTCCAGAAAATTACCCTCTGCAACCGGGTGTTCCGGGGAAGTTCCTGGAACCTAAAATCAGATGGAACCCAGGACTTGGCTATCTAAGAAGCAAAATTGACTACCAGTTCCACCCAGGTGAGCATTGACTCTTAAAACCCCAAAGCGATCACGAAAATACTAGATGAAAATGGGGGAGGTGAAGCCAGGCATAGTCTCCCACGTTTTAATCTTGCAGCGACCTCATTTTCTCTCTTGTAGTCAAGCCTGGGAAAAAGCTAGACCTGCGAATGTTGGACGCTTCCCAGAAACCATACTTTGTGGCTTTTTCCACTCTCTATATTTTAATTCTCTCTTGTTCCTCGCCTTTGTCTATATATTAACTCACCCTCCCCTTAAGCTGGGGCAATCAAAGGAGATATATTTGCAACTGAGAGGGGGAAAAAAGATCTTTAAGAAAATTCCTTGGTTAAGAGCCAGGCTTTTTTTTTTAAATTGGGGTCTCACACTGTTGCACAGGCCGGCATACAGTGGCATGATCATAGCTCACCACAGCCTCGACCTTCAGCCTTGACCTCCAGCCTTGACCTCCTGCGCTCAAGGCTATCCTTCCACCTCAGCCTCTCAGGTAGTGGGGACTACAGGCATGCGCCATCAAATGTGGCTAGATTTTTGACATTTTTTTTTTTTTTTGTAGAGACAAGGTCTCATTATGTTGCCTAAGCTGGTCTTGAATTCCTAAACTCCAGGCATTTTTAAGAAAATGGGCAAGAGAAGAATCAGAAGATCCACAGCTGATAGATTTCCAGGGTAAGTCTGCAAAGCTGTGACTTATTTAGAGAATGGCTGACCCCCATCTGACAGTCTAGTCAGACCTGGCTTCAAGAACCAGGAACTTCAAAAGCCAAAATCAGGCCTGGAATTCTGCTTTTGGCTTTGAGTTTCTTCCCTCTGCGGTGACAATGCCCGGTAATCAAAACTACACTGGAAGGTGGGAGGAATGAGGGACACCAGGATAACTCTTCAGAAGTGCATGTAATACCTCCCTCCCCCTGAATACACACTTATAATTATTCCCAGAAAGAGCAAAATGCCCATCACAGCATAAACCACACATTGCAGAAACAGCACTGGGCAGAACCTGGCATAAAATAGGTTCCGTCAAACCCCTCCATGGAACTAAACCGTTACATAAGGTAGTTTCAGCAAAAGGAGGGCCCTGACACCATGACCTTGGGGCAGCATCAGGGCATGGCTCTCAGAGACCATCTCAATAAATGCCACCGATGGCCAATTTTTAAAAGGCAGAACAGGTCGGGCACAGTAGCTCAAGCCTGTAATCCCAGCACTTTGAGGGGGCAGAGGCGAGAGGATTGCCTGAGCCCATGGGTTTGAAACCAGCCTGGACAACATGGTAAAACCTCGTCTCTACAATAAATCAAAAAATTAGCTGAGCGTGGTAGCGCATGCCTATAGTTCCAGCTACTTGGAAGACTGAGGCAGAAGGATCGCCTTGAGCCCAGCAGGTCAACGCTGAGGAGCCATGAGCACGCTACTGAACTCCAGCCTGGGTGACAGGGTGAGACTCCAACTCAAAAAAATATAAAATAAAAAGCAAAACAAATGTCTGCAAACCAGCCAAGTGCACTTACTACCAAGGATGGCTGATGGAGAGATGGCTTTTGAAACAAAAAAGAAGAGGGAGAACGTTACCACTAGTCCCATCTACCTCTCCATTATTGAAAAATGAATTATGTCAAAATTAGGACACTTGACACAGCTGTTCATGCCCTCATTCTATACCCAAACAAAAAACAGCAAAAGCCAACCCCACCCAAGAGGAGAATATAAGCGCTCAGCCCTGCCCAGGAAAACATGCCTTATGTAAGCGCATCTGGGCCAACTTGCACCCACCACCCTGCCCGCCTCCCTCAAAACAACCACACAAAACAATTTCAGCCCTGGCTCGCAGAGAGATGCGACTCAGAGAAACAGAAGCGAATCGGGGGGTCAAATCCCCAAACCCCCGGAGCCGAAGGTGGGAAAGGCCTTCTGCGTGGTACAAGTCTTTTGTCAGCCATAAAACTTCTTGACCTTTTAAAGTTTAGTTAGATGTTGGAGCTGTAGAGACCTGTTGTACCAGTTTTTAAATAGTCTCAAAGAAGCTGTCCAGATAACTTTTTTTTTTTGGAATCCAGCATTCAAAAGCTTTGTTTCTATTCAGGATTGTTCCTATGTCTGATCATTAATTGCATTTGACTGTTTAAAAAAAAAAGGAAAACCCACACAACGATCAAAACCAAAACACCTCTGCCACTGATGTCCCCCTCGCTTCAGAAAGCGAAGGAGGGGAACGGAAAAAAAAAGCATGTGTGTGCGTGTGTGCGTGTGTCTGGGTGTGTGTGCACACACGACTCTAGAGTTCTTTATTCATGAGCACGCGTGCCGAAGACGAGGCTGCTGGGTCTCAGGGAAGGATGTGTTGAAGAAGAGAGCTGTCTAACTCCAGACAAAGGCTTGCAAAATACCGTTGGCTAGGTGGCTGTTCCCTTGGTGGTTGAAAGCATCATTTAAAGTCCTTTTCATGTTTTCATAGCAGGCAAAGTACATGGCATGGGCCGGCCCTGCGCCGATCACCATCACGTTGAGGCCACGCAAGGGCCTCCAGAAGCCTTCAGTCCGCATGATTTTCTTGAGGGCTCCATAGATACTCGTGTACTGGGCTTTGGGATCCGGATTCAAACTCTGCATTCGCGTCTGGGGGGGGTGAGAAAACAAAAAAATGGCAGTTAACGAGGATGGTAAAGAGAAAGAAGAAGAGAGACAGAGAGAAAACAGTGACTTCTCATAGTTCCACAGGGTTTCTTGGTGAAGAAAACAATGTGTTCTCTGTGTTGTGGAGTACTTCCCCACATACACACGTTCATATCAATTTCATTAAGCCCAGTAAAGGGGGAAAGGGAGAGGAAGATGTGGAGTAGGAAGACCCTCCCCTGACATCGGCAAGCTGTGTGGCCTCTGATGAATCCCTTAACCTCTTTGGTCCTCAAGACCTCCAATTAAAAAAAAAATGGCGCTTGACCAGGCATGGTGGCTCACGCCTGTAATCCCAGCACTTTGGAAAGCCAAGGCAGAAGGATGGCTTGAGCTCAGGAATTTAAGACCAATCTGGACAGCATAGCGTGTCCTCATCTCTACAAAAAAAAAAAAAAAAAAATTTAAAATTAGCCAGGCAGGGTGGTGTGCACCTGTATGTAGTTCCAACTACTCAGGAGACCGAGAGGGAAGGATCGCCTGAGCCCAGGAGGTTGAGGCTGCAGTGAGCCATGATCATGACACTGCACTCTGGCCTGGGCAACAGAGTGAGGACCTGACTCAAAAAATAAATAAACAAATACACAAACAAATAAAAATAAAAACACAGTGCTGTTGCAAGCAACAAACAAAACAATGCAAGTGAAAGCCCTCTACAAACTCAGAATCCTAGATAAATAGGTATAGAAATACCCTAGGGTTCTGAAGTCTTCTCCAGTCTCACTTAGCTGAAACCTCTGTGTTCCAAAAGCTCCTGTTCAGTCCTTTCCATGTAAGTCTCCCAATCCTCTAGCCCTCACCCGCCTCATCACCTTTAAATACTTTTTATATTTCTCATTTTTATGAGTTAGCACTTAAATATAAACGGTTTTGTTCCTAATTTCATCCTACGCATAATCTTATCTCCTTGATAAGACTTGATAGGCTTCCACCTCTCTGTCTTCCCTAGCATACCACCAGGTGTGAAAGGTACTTGTGCAGGAGTGATGGGTCATTTTATGGGTCAATATGGCTGGTCCATGGACACTGATATTTGACCATACGCCAACCTAGGTGTTTGTGTGAAGGTATTTTTTTAGACGAGATTAACATGTAAATCAACAACTTTGAGTAAAGCAGAAGACCTCCACAATGTGGGGAGGCCTTATCCAATCAGTTGAAGGACTCGAGAGAAAAAAACTGAGTCCCCCAAGGAAGAAGAAATTCCACCTCCAGACTGGAACTGCAGCATCAGCTCTTCCCTGCAAATCCAGCCTGCTGGCCATTCTGCAGATTTTGGACTTAACGTTCCCCACAATCATATGAGCCAATTCCTTAAAATAAGTCTCCCTATAGGTAAATTTAGATATAGATATCTCTCTATATATAAATACATCTCTCTATATAGAGATTTCTCTCTCCCCCAACACACTACTGTCTGTTTCACTAAAGAACCCTGACTAGTACAGTAGCTAAGATAGACTTGCTAACTAGAAGACCCTCATCAGCTCAGTCCTACCAAAACTTGCTCACTCCTTCCTTCCTTCCTTCCTTCCTTCCTTCCTTCCTTCCCTCCCTCCTTTTCTCCCTCTTTCCTTCCATTGTCATCCATCTGACACTCCTCCACCCTCCCCACCCACAGCTTAGAGGAAAGGCTCTCTCCAACTTTTGGCAGGGAGATCCTTTTATCTCCAAACAAAATCATAAAGAAAACCTAATATTGTGTTAAAAAACAAAAAAAAGGCAGGGGGAGGTACTTCTCTGATTGCAAATGGGAAGAGGGTCCTGAGCCTCACCCATGGGGCTCCCTCTCACTCCCTAGGGCAGAGACCCACCCCCTCCCCAGTATCCAAGGGCTTGGAGGAATGTTGTGAAAACCAAAAACCTCAATGAGTGGTCATTTTCAGATTTCACCAGCTATTAAAACCATAGAAAATGGGCATAACTTTGCCAACTTTTTTTTTTGCCAAGAAATGACACAAAAACAATAACACTATAAGCAACAATCGCCACCACCCTCTATTACAATAATCATTTCCTAAAAGAAAGGGCATTTTTTAATGCTTAAACAAAGTAACGAAACTGTTACTTTTCTGAAACTGTTCTCTATGCTTTAAAAGTTAGAGTTAACTTTATTAAAAACTTGCATTTTCCTCCTTTTTTCCTACCACAGACTGGTAAAAAAGACCTCTGGCCCAGCCCAAGGCAGTCTAGGCCTCAGGGTCCTGGGAGGAGGGTGACTTCTGGGGTCAGTGTCCCAGTACCTTTTTGTTTTTTAAATTGATGTCTATTCTAATCCTTTTCAAGAAGGATTTGATGCTATTTAATAAGAGGATACATTTTAAGCAAAAAAGACCAAGGGGCAGAGAAGTAAGCGAATGTACCAATCCAGAGGGTACCTGAATCAAGAGAGTACCCAAATAGTGGTTACAACATCTCCACTTAGCTCCTGCATGGCCTGCTGGCCAGACCACATGAAGAAGTGAACGCCACACAAAGCACTCATGTTGGGAAGAAGAAACAAAACTGCTCCATCAGGATTTTTGAGATCGTTCTAGTTTCATTTTTATTTGATTTTATTATAGAGATGTGGGGTACAAGTGAGGGTTAACTACACAAGTCGGCTGCATGCAGGTAAAATTTGGGCCTCCAACTGGTCCTCACTTCTGCTGGTTTGGGACCAGGCACCCTTTGTGTTTTTACACGCCCCTATCCCTTAGCAGTACCCAGTGACTGCCAATCCCTCTCTTGTGCCAATGTGGTTAATGTTCAGGGGCCACTTATAAGTGAGAGCATGCAATATTCAGTTCTTTGTTTCTATAATAGATCACTAAGTATGATGGTCTCCAACTGAATCCAGTTTGCTGAGAAGTCTATGATTTTGTTCTTTGTGGTCAAGATCGCGCTAGTTTTAAGCACAAAAGTTTTGAATTTCACTTGGCTTTCTCCTACAATTGCCCCTGCCAAAAAGCAATGGCATTAGACAGTAGGGGTGCAATGTGGTGGTCAAGCACCCAGGTTTTGGAATCAGAAAAAAACTGGGACTGAATTCACGCTCCATCACTCACAGTGTGAGCCTGGTAAGTTAGTTAATCTCTCAAAAGTTTGAGTTTCCTCACATGTGAGGATGGTTGAGAAAATCAGATGAGATAATACATGTCTATGCCCATCATTATTGTCAGTAATAATAAAGGATTGGCCAAGGGTCTACATGAAGGTGATTCAAGAGGTTCACCTCTCAAGTGATATGGTTCTTTTAGAGACAGGGTCTCACTCTGTTGCCCAGGTTGGAGTGTAGGGGTGTGATCATAGCTCACTGCAGCCTCAAACTCCTGGGCTCAGGTAATCCTCCCATCTCAGCTTCCCATGTAGATGGGACTACAGATGCACACCATGCCAATTTATTATTTTTTGTAGGGAGGAGGTATCACTATAGTGCCCAAGCTAGTTTCAAACTCCTGGCCTCAACAATCCTCCTATGGCCTCCCAAAGTGCTAGGATTACAGACACATGCATTACCATGCCTGGCTTAAATATGGTCCTCATATATGAACTTCCAGCGTTCTGAGCCCCACAGAGATGGGGGTTTCCGTCTTTTTCACAGATCTCTAATGCCTAGTAAGATGGACTAATCCTGGGACCCAATAAGTATTTGTTAAGTTCATAAGTGGATGAACAAACCCAACTTAGGCTACCAACTGGGGTGAAGCAGTAGTGTCTCAGAGCCCCACCACCTCTTTCTGGGATCTAGCTATCCTTATCATCATCCTTTATTTGGATCTTTCCCTATCAATACCAAGTCTGCATTTCTCAAGCCTGGTTATGATCTGCTGAGTCACAAGCAGAGCAGAGGCGGCCTGTCCCTGGGGGGCAGCTTGGGCCTGTGGACTAGGGGTGGTTCCTGCCAGTTCCCTTCCAAGGGAGAGGCCCCTATACCTTGGGGGAATGGCTACAGCAGTGCATCTTCTTGGGGGATGAAGCTCTGGCTCAAGTCCTTGGATTTCCAGCCTAGAACAAGGTGCTGGCAGGGTTTGCAAGACTAGTCTATGATTGAAGATTTCCTTTGGATCCTAGTGGGCAGAACCACCCTGGGCAAGCAGGGTTGGCAGTGTGATCAAACCCAGATGACTAGCTGTTGAGAGAGCTAATGCTGGCAACTGCAAGGCCCAGGATGGGGGTATCTCATCTCTCTGGTCTCCAGTGTCCTCAATTATATATAAAAGAATTAACCAGAAAATTTTTTTAAATGCCCATTTGAGGCCAGGCATGGTGGTTCATGCTGTAATCCCAGCACTTTGGGAGGTCAAAGTGAGAGGATCGCTTGAGCCCAGGAGTTAGAGATCAGCATGGGCAACATAGCAAGACCTTATCGATACAAAAAAAAATGTTTTTTAATTAGCAGTGGGTGGTGGAGTGTGCCTGTAGTCCCAGTTACCTGGGAGGCTGAAGTGGAAGGAAGGATCACTTGAGCCCAGAAGATAGAGGCTGCAGTGAGCTGTGACAGAGACCCAGCTCAAATATCAGGGCACCACCCCAGCACTCATTGATTCAAAACTTTTTTCTTTTTTTAAATTCCCTAGATGATTCTGATCATCACTCAGTTTTGGGAACCACTAGGTAGTTTCCAGGCCCCTTCGAGGCCCCTTCCAGCCCCAGCCCCAGCAGTAGGGCTTCACCTCTGGTTATCGGAGAAGGGTGTAGCTGGGCAAAGGCAGTGGGCACAGAGGATGCCTGGGCTTTAAAGTCTCACCCGGCCCAAGGTTGTTGGTCTCAATCTCAATCCCAGCTCTGTGACCTCAAGCAGGTTCCTTAATCTTGGGGCATGACCATCCTTGTCTGTCATAATCTCCCAGAGAGCAGTTGGGAAAACACCTGACACAGACTGGCTATCAACAATGACCTTCCCCACCCTCACGCCCTCTACATCTGTGAAGACTTCGGGAGGGTCTCGCCTTCACAAACCT